CTCCTTCTTAAGGAAGGAAACCTAACACTGACCATTTGGCCAGAGTCTGTGAACTGTCTGAACACCATGACCTCCCTCCATTACCATAATAATGAGCTACGTCAGAAGCAGCAGAAAAGGGCTATATAAACTGGAAGTTTTGTACCGGCACTTTGAACAATACTTCAGTTTTATTGTTCCTTGCATGCAATAAAACTCATCTGTTTAACTTCATCTCAGGATCCAGAACTTATTTGTCTGTTACAACAGTATCTTTCTTGTACATTTTAATAAAAATTGCCCACTTTTTTAGTGGATTAAGAAGGAATAAAGTATTTTTATTATGATATAAAAATTGCAAACACAGCTCTCAATAACAAAAGCAGGAAATATTACAGACCACAAATCAATAAAAAAGGAGAAAACAAATTGTACAATAATCTGCCAACTGAGCCTGAAGGGAAGACATTGTGCAGTGGGGAAAAAAGACAATACCTAATGTTTCTCCAAATTGGATTTATTTTTGAGCAGACAGATTTAAACCATTTAGAAAGATTCATTATCAAATGGCAAGGTGCAAAGAACCTATTGTATATTGCAGATAGATGTATCATCTGTGTTTTCTCTATGACCATAAGAGGCATTAACAAGAGAAGGAATTGGTCTTTACCAATTTTGTCCTCCATTGACAATTTCACACAGAGGCAATAAGATGCACTATTTAAAAGAGTATAATGCTAATGAAAAACATCTACCACCACAAACTAATATAGTATGTAATTTGAGTATAAACAGCTAACATTATTAAAATTAAAAAAATTGGAATGTGCCGTTATAGTTCAGTTAAATATCCATCTCATTACAAATGAGCTCTTCAAACCCCTCTTATCTAGTTCCCGACAACTACGTAGCACAGAAACTGCCCTGTGTCAAGTCACTAATGATCTTCTGATGGCTTCTGATTCTTGTTCTCTTTCTATCCTGATTCTGCTTAACCTCAGTGCTGCTTTCAATACTGATAACCACAATACCATATTTTCTCATCTTGAGACTGTGTTGGGAGTTTCTGACACTGCCCTTAAACTTAAATGGTTCAAGTTTTACTTTACTGATAGCAGTCACTTTGTCTCTTTTAGTTCTGAAATTGGACATTATAACACTGGTGTTCCTCAGGGCTCAATACTGGGCCCCTACTTTTCAGTATTTACAAGTCCACACTTGGTGTGCTATTACGATTGCATGATGTAAATAGTCACTTCTATGCTGACAATACTCAAAACCACGTCCATACTTAACACAACACTGATGTGGCTTTTTTTTACTTACTACATCTTTGACAAAAAAACATGGATGACTAAAATCTAATTTGAAAAACCCGGGGGTGATATTGGATCCGGGCTTGATGTTTGACCCACACGTGCAACATTGTCAATGTATCATTCTTCCACCTCAGAACTATCGCAAGACTCATCCTATGTTGTTTCAGCTAACTTTTGCTGAAAGGCTGGTCAACATTTTTTGTTTTCTCTTGTTTTGATTACTGTAACACCTACTCACTGGGGTATCTAAATCCACGCTGAACAAACTACATTATGTCCAGAATTCTGAGGCCAGAATCTGACCAGGTACAGTGCAAGTGATCACATTACTCCTGTCCTGGAGTCCTTGCTCTGGCTTCCTTTCAGGTTTTGTGTTGACCTTAAAATCCTCATGCTCACCTATAAAGACTCTACATGGCTTGGAGTTTCTGACACTGCTCTTAAACTTCTTAGTACCCATCCGAGTTACTATCATCCTACTGTCCACCTCGTATCCTTCATTTGACTAATTCTGGTCTCCTATCTACCCTGCCCGTCAACACTCTATGGGTGACAGGGACTTCTCCTGCTATGACCCAAAGCTATAACACCTGGGCCGCGAACCAAGGTCTCCAGCGTAACGCAACAGGGAGCCAGCTGCATGAGCTGAAGGAGACCTCCCTCAGCCTAGGCAGCTGAGGTCCCTGCTACGTGCAGGGAGGGCAAAGAAGTCACGGTGTCCGAACTAGCTCCACTACACTATGGTGATCGTTTCCTGCTTAGGCTTACCCGTCATAAACAGGGCTTCTTCAGACTTAGTCTTAGTAAAATAATAAATTAAACATTTTCTACAATTACACATGTACAAGGCATCTCCACCCCAACACTATGGAAATCAGTCACCTTACCTGATCTATTTCAAATCTAGACTTTTTCAGAAGGGCTTTTATGTAACTGGTTTGCCCCTTTCCTTTCCTAAAGTTTTCCAAAACCCCTCCCATCACCATTTTTTTTGGTTCTGTCAAGTGCCTTTAGAAGCCACTTTTAAAGGGTGCTATATAAAAGAGATTTTATGAATCATATTATATAGACTATCATTTTAAAGAATCATAAGCATTAAAACATTACTGACCCTGCCAGGCTCAAAGCCTCTTACACACGACATCAGCAATAGAAAGATGATCATTGATTAACACCGAAGCAAGGAAGTCTGGGATTTCCTATGCCTGTAATGAGTCTTCTGTGGGCGTATTCTGTAAAACTGTGTGCATAGTGAGAGTAGGTGATGTCTGTTTAGAAATGAATCAGCCACCTTCATGTGTCACCATCCCACACCCTTAGCATATCTACACATAGCTTCCATGTACTAGTAAGTGAAAGAAATTGATTCTTTTTTTTATTTCTTTGACTTCCACAAGCCCTATAAATACCCAGGGTAATAAAGTGCAGTCGTTGAACCCATCACATTACCTTTAATTTTATAAATAGTTGTACAATTTTAAAAAATATATGTGCTGTAGTAGTCATTATACAAATGCATTTGGAGTAAAAAAATTGAAAATCTTTTGCAAAATTATTTTTTTAATTTTTTTTTTTACTTCAGGCTGAGGTAGGAGAATGTAGGGCTCTAAGAATCTAGATAAAATGTGCAAAGCCTGGCAGTGTAAACATTTCCAGCTTCAAGGCAGGGGGGAAGCTTGCTAAAATGTAGGGGGACCAGAGTCTGTGATCAAAACAGTCATAACGTTTACCTTAGTTAATTACTGTAAGTTCTGGGTAAGTGATTGTGTTTGATCAATTAACAGTCCAGAAAACAGACCAAAAGATAAGATCAAATCAGGAGAAGGAAGGGGGAGAGAAAAGAAAGAAGGAAGTTGAAGTTTGTGCCAGGTGAGAGTATTACAATTTTGCCAAGAGAGCTTGCTGTTCTATAGCTTTTAGGGAACTTGGAGGTCCTGAGTGAAGAATCCCTTGGTTTAAAATTGCCTCTCCTACTTATTGGGTGCATTTTAGAATTGGTTTCTTTTTATCTTTTGGCACCCAGGTTAGAGAGAGTTAATCATAGGTTACATTCTATTTAGAATGCAACTAATCTCTTCCTTTGCTTTTGTAGACAATATTTAAGAGTCAAATACTTGGTATCTGTTTGAGGTTGTCTGGGTGGAATAGACATAGGTCTCTAGAAGTGATAGAAGTGTATTCTGGAGAAGTCCTTTACGAGTTGGTTATAATAATTTTACTTGACTAAACCCCTCGGTCAATTCCTGATATTTTGATTTTTTTTCCTCCAGAGGATATGAAAATGCACGTATAGTATATAAGGTAACCTACTTCATTAATCTCTGACTTGCAATACCCGTCCGGGTGACACCTAGTGACCATTATGCACCAGTAACACCACTATACAACAGATCAGATAAAATAATGAGAACTTACTATACCAGTTAAACTGAGGAAAAATTAAGGTGGGCTAGATCATATACAGTACACACACAAAGTAGAATTTATGCAGGTCACAGAAATTGACATTCATAAACCTAAGAGAACTGAATCTTTCCCAAAGGTCTCAATTTAATAACCGATTTGGAACAAGAAAAATTGGGAATACATCCTCTCAGAACGCATTAATCTTTCCACCAAATTAAGCTATAATTAAGTGCAAAATTATTGGGAAAAATACAATGTCTAGTAGGAATACTAGGATAAATAAGTTTAATCCTAGATAAAACTATAAATAAAACAGCATGTGAAGCAGATACTAAAATCATCTGGAGAACCACAACAAATTACCACTGAAAAATTGCATTGATGAAACTGCTTGTTTAGGTCATGTTGTGAAAAATAATTAAAGGTTATCAAAAGTATGTATGGGTGAATTTTTTTATATGCATTGTTCCATTTCAAACTACATACTGTATATAGCTACTTTGTAATGTTTATTTAGACAGTACATGGTCAAATGTTTTGTATTGGTTAACCATGATTAACATCAGGCTATGTAATGCCTCTCCAAGGTTTCAATTTCTTTGGTTTTATAGTACATAATTTAGTAGGTTTGATGTTTGCAATGATCAGCTGGCCAAAAAGACCAACAGGTGACACTTGTGATGCATTGATTTTTAGTGAAATGATTGCTTCATCTAATCTCTTCACTGTGAATGTTTAAATCTGCTTAATATTGAATATGAATGTGTAATTTTACAACTAAAGGGAAATTTGGTAGTATAAAAATAACAGGAACATAATGTCTCTGAATGTCATAAATGATATTTACTTAATATGTAATTATACAAACTATACATTGCTGGTAGTGTATTTAAACTACCACACCAATATTCCACTTTCTTCATAAACATTTTATGCATCAAAGTCATTCATTTGCTCACTTACTGAGAGTATTTTGGAAAGTTTTGGAATACATCAGATCCCAGGTGTAAGCGGATTTTCTTTCAGTAAGAACTGAATTTACAGTAGGATTGTAGTCATTAAGTTCTTTCAGGGTCCAGAATACCCTAGGAAAAAAAAAATAGATTACAAGAGAGAAACTTAGTATCTTCATTTAAAAAATACATGTGTTGAGTATAAGAAACTATTTGCTCTCCAAATACTATATTAAGTCCAAGTAAGCTGCAGAATTGAATAACCCTGGGGTATATTTTTTCAAAATCTGGTGTCTTGTTTTACTAAAAGCATAATTACTAAATAAAATCCTTCCGATTTCAGGGTGTCCAACAGACTGGGACGAAATACATTGCTGGCCCAGGGCAGATGTTGGCCATGTTGTCAGAGTGACATGTTCCGAAGTATTTCATCATCTTAAAACTAAACAAGGTAGTAAAACTTACTTTTATTTTTCAGTCATTAGATATTAATGGTTAATTTCATTAATGCTTCATGTGCAGTATATACCGTACTTGCTTAATTTGACATTGAACGCCACTGTAAAATTGGGAGGCAGGTGTGGTGGATAAATTACTCCAGAAGAGTTCAGCTGGATGCAGCCCAATTCCTTTTGACAGTTTTATTTTCTCACACATGCACGGTAATGCTTGGCATAACAAAAGAAGCACCCTGAATACATTTTATACACACAGTATGTCCAGTAGGCAAATGAACATTCAAAGCTGAATAATTAATGTGAAATAAATCTTTTTATTTTGATAATATTAATATATTTATATTAATATATAATATAATATATTATAATACAGTTATTTTGTGAAGGGTATTACAATTTTACAAGTGAAAGAGGAAATAACCAATCTTGGTGTTATCTGATACAAACCAAAAGGCATCACTATGATTTTGAGCACAAAATGACAAAATTAAATTTTGCAGTGTGCTGAATTCAGTTGCCAATCAAAGGAACATACTGTAACTGACGAGGAGGATTTATTCTGTTCTATAAGAGCCCCTGAAAGTCTACTTCCACCACATATTTGGTTAGTACAGTATTTAGTGTTGAAAAATCTCTAATGTAATAAACATAGTTCAGTTTATTCACCCAAGAGATGTACTGTATTAAAAAAAAAAATCAAAGAGTTAAAAAAACGCCTAAAGCCTGGACACTCGTTGGTATTTATTATGCTCTGTGATTCATGAGAGACAAATAATAGCCTCATAGGTCTTACCCTTTTACCAGGCAAAGGTTTTAAAGTCAACTTTCTTTTCGATTTATGTGCTTAAGGGATTCTGTATAACAAACTAAATTGTCAGTATAAAAATCCCTGAATAATACTTTGGCAACATATCTTACAAGCCACCCACAAAACATTCCTGTACTCCATCTTTCTTGAGTGAGTTGGATGTAAAGGTATACAAATGATGACGAGCGCAAACAAAAATATCATTTATACTACACAGGTAGGGTTATTGTAAAACGCTAATGATATTGCAATATTCAGATGGGAATGTGAAACTGTAAACAATGTATAGGAACAACACAGAGCATGGATACTCAACTACAGTTCTGGAAGGCAGCAGTCCAACAGGTTTTAGATACATCAACCAGCATTTTTAGAGTTGTAAAAGTTACAGCTAAATATAAAGGCACCAGTTACTTCAACTGGTTAAGAGCCAAACAGGACATCCAGAATATCCCCAACCCTTCTATCATGGGTGCATTTACATTGTTAAATTGTATTGAAAAAAGCAATTAGATTTGATTAAACAATTATCTTGAAAACGGCACTTCCATAGTTTGTAAGTGTTACAATCAGAACCAAGACTTTATTCCATGGTTTATTCCATGCTAAAAAAACATTCAAGAGGACAGGGATTCAAATACACTCAAATTAGTTTGAGAAAATGGAGTTCCATAGTTTACTGTACACTAAGAATTATGTTTTAAAGATTTCCCTTTTTGTTGCCTAGAGACTAGTTTGGGCTTTGTGTAAGAAAACATGCAGCCAAAGGGGACCTCTCTGCTACACAACATACCTCAAGGCTTACAGACAGACATTGTAAAGCTGTTTTCCCAGTATATTCAGAATAAAGACAAGGCCACAGGCCTTGATGGTGCTGGTTCCCACCAGTTGTGACATGATGCAGACCTTCCTGCTTGCTAGTCACTGTAATGACTAATGCAATTAGATACAGTACATCAGCAAATAACTGCAAGTTGTGCAGCAGACATTGCACTGCAGAAGTGTTCAAATATGATCTGCATACAAGTTCCAGTTATCGATAAAATGGTCTTAAAGTCAGAGCAATATTTCTATTAAAGAGATGTATTTGCAAGACTGCTTGTTTACTATGTAATACAATAGGGCCACTTCAAGTCACCAGGTATTTTGTTGCCTCATTCTGAATCACAGAACATGGCACTGCGTATCCATGGAAATTTAGTCTATTTTGTGATGTAAATTTCAGGTTTTACAAGAATATTTATATGGCAGTTTGAAATGATCTTAATGCTGATGGATTCTAACCCCAAAATATAAAAATAGTGTTGTAGTCCCCATTTGAACCACTCCACTGTGGCTTTGGCTGCATTTTCCAACTGAAAGATGAATCTTCTCCCAAGTCCCTTGTCTCTCACAGACCTTAGGCAAGGAATGGTGACATAGGATATTTAATTGCCAAATAATGAGGATCTCAATTTAACATTTCATCTACAAGATGCATCTCCTACAATACAGTACCATCTATTTACATTCAGTACAAGGACGTACTGTAGGGAATTTTATTACAGAGGTAAGAGTGCCACCTACTGGTCATCTAACATCACTTACAGCAGCAATCTGGATTTTTCCCTGGAGTTCTTTCAACCATGCATTGAACACATCTAATCTTGCTTAGCTTCAGAGATGTGAAAAAAAATCAGGCTAAATAGTGGTTACCTGGGTGTTGGTTTAACAAGATAAGAAATTCTTGCTTAGAATCATGTGAAAATGCCCATTTGTAGTATAGTGCTGTATAGTACTGGCGAAATCAAGTGAATTACCTCGCTCATAGGTACAACTGCAACATTCTACCTTGGATCTTGAAGCATATAAAACCAACATAGAAATAAATATGAAAGTGTGGAAAACACTAATTTTAACTGAAGTCAGTAATTCTTGTAATTAGTCTTTGATAAATCTCATAATATGGAAAACTGAAATGTGTTCAAGTTCATTTTCATATGGTCCAATGAAATACTTATTTACATTGTAACACTTTCAGAGATTGTCAGGTCTTTTTCCTCAAATGCTTCAAAAAACAGTGTCAAAAACCATACTCAAGTTCCCACATTCATGAAAACTACAGTAGTATAAACAAAGTATCTAACAAACACCCAAAACTTCAATAGCACTCACTTTATCTTCTTAACATCCAGAAATAAATCAGCACCAAAAAACAACTAAATTCTCTAGTTTTCCTCAAACAAAAGAGCCTGATTTGTGTTTACCACACCCTTTTAAACCCATCAAACCGGCAGCTAATCTCTCACAGGTGAGAGCATTTAGAGCATTTACAAAAAATGAGCAGGCCATTTCCCCATGGTATCTTGAGATGTGTAGTTTCCATGCTCTCTAAACAGAGGAAACTTCAATTTTTTAAAGAGACAGGGTCAAAGAAGATAAAGGCTTCTCAAAATTCTAGGCTCAAAATACACTCCCTCTGTGACCCTGACCCACATTTTGTCACAATGTGTTTCCTCACATACAGTTACTAATGACAGTTACTAATGAAATAGGAGGATTAAGAGGTAGTGTTCAGAAGTCTTATGGCTATGTGAAAGAAGCTTTTATACTCCTAAATCTTCTGTCAGAAGGAAAAAGAGAGATAAGTGCATGCTCAGGGTAGTTTTGATCCTTAACTATATTATTTTCCATTCTGAGGCAGCGCATAGTGAAGATGGTCTAAATGGAAGGGAGTTCTGTACCAGTGATGGCCTGGGTTGTCTCCAGCACCTTCTGTAGTGTTTGTGATGTTAGCTGCCGTACAGAATTGCTTCTCTCTTCAAATCTACAACCATAACAGGCGTCATTGTTTCGTTGAGACGTAAAACTGAGGTCCTGACTCTCTGTGGTCATTAAAAATCTCAGGGCATTTCTCAAAAAGAGAAGGGGTGTTATGTCCTGGTCAAATTTCCCATTGGCCTTTACCACTCATGGCCTCCTAATAATTTCCATCAATGACTTGGCTTCACTATGGCTGCTGTTGCATTATCCAGACGGGTGCTGCTCATTGGTGGGGAGTCCATATTACCTGTAAAGCACTATGAGTGGAGTGTCCAGAAAAGCGCTATGCAGTATAAGTGTAAGGAATTATTAGTGTTATTAGTGTACCTTTACTTGCAACAAACAAAACAGTGTCAGGCTATTACACAGACTTGAGTAAGCTTTTGTATTATCTCCTATATGTACATACATTACCATGGACAAATGTGAATCATAAACCATAAACTACATAGGGAGTCCCAACTGGGGGGTTGTCTGCATCAGATACACTAGAACCAACTTTGAGTCATCTGATTTCAGGTTTATATATAACGTTATTTATGTTTATAGATTCAGGTTTATAGGTCTTTCAAGTTGCCCATTTTCTTAGCAGCCACAGATGATGATGATAATACTACTACTACTACTACTACTACTACTACTACTACTACTACTACTACTACTAATAATAATAATAATGATACTGGGTTATTATACTACACGTTCTTTATATGCTGTATAGAAGTCACATAGTTAGAAGTTGATTGCTTGCCTGAGCAGGACCACCAAAAAGTTGTTATTGAATACATTTGCATACAGTATGTCAGACAGAAATTATGGAGGTTTTGAAAATCTGGAATTTGCAATCACTTTCTTTCTTATATAATATTGAAATTCTAGAATGTAGTCATTCCCAGTACCCTAAGGGGGGAAAAGGAATCATAGAACTAAAAAAACAGGCAAGGAAGCACATTCATTTTCATTATGGAGACATGAACCTGTTTAGATCTGTGGCTACCTTTCTAGAATGTTATTATTGTTTACTATGACAGCTTATAATAAAAAAATTGAACCTCCACACCAATGTATCTGAAGTGTTCTTCCACTGGTACAGTTAGAGGTGGGTTGACCCTCTTCACCATGTAATATAATGACAGTAATACCTATTTGGAATAATTGATTTTGAACTTTGACAGAGCATCACATTAATTAAAAATAGCATATGAGACAGAAATTGAGAGACTTTACCTACATACATAAAGTGATATATCATATTGAGTATTATTTACAATAACAGAGGTAAAAGCATTATATTCTTAAACAATCTTTATTACAGATTTTAAATAGAGGGCAAACAACAAAGTTGGTTAACCTTACAACAGCTCCTAGATATACTGTAACAAATTGGGTAGAACACTCATCACTATAGATGAGGGGTTGATATAAAAATGTAGTCTACCTTAATTAACCCTAATTCCCAGAACATAAAATTAAAAACCAGCCAAACACAGTATTTGATTAAAATCCTTCTCTGCATCTAATGACAGAACAGAACATGGAAGACAGTGTCTGTAATTGCATGTAAAATATGAAAAAGACAGCAAATGTAACCAGAGGTCAGGCATCCTTTAATAAAGACCCTGAGAACATGGTAAACTTTTTTGGTCATACTGTATAAAACTTTGACTTACAGTAAAAGCAGCTTAGCATACCATCTTCCAAATTAGAGATATTCCACACAAAGTGTTGGATCCTTATTTTTTTCAATGGGAAGGAAATTATTAACATCAATATTAAAATCCCTCTGAAAAGTGCCTTTCCAAATGAATGAATTTCCCAAGTCAAACAAAAAAGTTCTTAATTTGGACAAAAAAATAAGATAATCATTGAGAGAATTACCCTTTATCATGTCCTTCCTTTGGCTCAGACAGGGATATTAGGCACCTTCTGTACAACATCCTCTGGAGGAAAATGATTAGGCAAGTGACTTTCCCTGATTGGACTGCATTTCTGTACCGTATACAGTACTTACAATGACAATGTGGAGTCTATCTACACTGGATCTGGCAGTGATGAATCCTTTACTGATGTAATGGTAGAATTATCAGGAAACCATTAACATATTCAGAAATAATAATTGTGCTCACTAGCATTTGAATAAGAGCTATGCATTGTGAATTAGAAGTCTAAGCAGAGATTGTTTTCTTACAAGGATGATGTTCAATGCTATTACCTCAGAAAAGGTGAGTTATTCAGAAAATTCAACTTAGTTTTCAATTCAGTCGTTTTCATAAGATATGATTTAAAAATGTTTCAGGTACAGATAGTAGAATTTTCTCTCATAAAGCCTCTGACTGTGTCCTTTCAGAATATGGAGGCAATTGAATTCTCCCTTTACCATGATCATCCTCCTTTCTTAGATCTGTCTCTTGGACTATTACTCTCTTCCATATATCTTAAACCTAACATACTGTACCAGTTAAAGTGTTGTATTTCCAGACTTATTTAATATTCTGTCTAAATGTAATGATACTGCTGTATCTTGGCAGCCACTTGAAGAAAGTCTAGTACAATGATACAGTATAGACATTTTACTTTACATTTTGTAAGCTTTAGCTTTCATTTATGAGATTCACAAAATTACAGATAGTGTGGCAGGCCCATCTTCTGTTTTCAATAACCATAAACTTCATATGGGCAGTTATCTTTTTTTCCAATGGCATCCCTAATGCCATTTAAAAGGTGTAAAAGAGTTACATAAAATTATATTTGGAAAGATTAAGATTTTTAGGACTGTTGAACTGAATCTGATTCTTCAATAAATTACAACTTTCATCAGATATGATACAGACACTAGATGTACAATTCCTTAAATTGATATTAAAATATTGCAGTCTGCAGTCATGTAGTTTTTCTAAAGTAATTGGAGAGGTTAGGGCAGCACTATGTTTTAATGATATGATGTTCTTTCCAGATAACTTCAGCTGTCAGATTGATAATCTAGGTAAAATGCACTGACAGGTAATAAATAAGAATGCATTACTTTGTTTCTTTTGAGCTGTTCTTTTGAGGTAATTGTTTTCAGGCAATTAAACCTATGCTGATTTCCCAAAGGAGAGTTGGGGAGGGGGGTTGAGTTATATTATATTTTATCAGACGTGCCTCCCTATTATATAAGGCATGTACGATTGAAGACAAGTAAAGGCTTTTGATATTTTTCTTACACTTGTTATTTTTTGTTTGAGTAACATGCTTCTTTTAAGGATAGAAAATTCTGAAGAATGCTTCAAAATAAATGGTGTGTGAAAGTGGATGAAATATTTATTTTAATTAAGTGGACAGTATACTTTATTTGGACCCTGGATTTATTTGGCTGCATCATACTCCTTATCTTGTTACTTGTAAGCAAATTCCCCTGATACACACAGAGTATAGTTTTAAATGTGTGTTAAAGTCTATTTTAAGCTCTTTGCATATTCAGTTTGGGTTTGATATCTAAACTGTAATGATTGAAAACTCATCCCATTCTCTAAGTTTTCGAATCCTCTGAAATATAGTAGTTTTATAGTATAGAATTTGTAATTCAAAGATTAAACAGAATGTGCCTCGTATTCAACCAGTTAGCAATATCTCGCTTCACTTATCCACTCTTTAATCTATTACATAATCCAATTCAGTGTTTATGGATTATGATAATAATGGAAGTAAAGTATTTAACATCCAGACACAACACTTATATTTGGATGTATGTTGTTTTTCAACAAAGCCATTAAAGTAGGGGATTGTAGAAGGGTGATGTTGCTACTAATTGCAAGATCATTAGATTAAATAAATGCATTTTAAATATATATCATGCACTCCTTTCCAAAGATGTTCCTATTTGTTTAGTTGCAAATGATATATGCTCATTTTGTAAACATTTTAATCCAGTCTTGTTCAAATTTAACACGTTTATGAGTGAAAGAAGTTAAATATCATTAAAAACTGAAAAAGAAAAATCAAAACCTAAAGAAATATTTATTTTAGTGTTGTAGTATTCGATTGTAAATGTATTCACCCCCAGAGTCAGTACCTCGTGAACGCTTCTTTGGCAACAATTACTGTTGCACATTTTTCAACATATCTCCATCAACTTTGCACAACTGAATGTGAGTGTTTGCATGTCTGTGTCTCTGTGTCCTGCAAAGGCCTGGTGTCCTGTCCAGAGTGTACAGTACCTCATCTTGTGCCTGTTGCTTGCTGGGATAAGCTCTGGATCCAGTGAATTGGAAATAGTAGTTAGAAAATGGCTAGATGGATGGAAAAATACATATAAAACTATAGGAAGGCTTTTATATGCAACATTCACCTAAAATACGGTACAGTTACCCATTAAGCAACTTGAACCCTGGTTACAAGTATCATAACTACAAAGTCTATTAATTAAATCCATCACAGTACTGAAAGCTTATGTGAAACAAAAAAACACAAGATACAGTACTTTACCAGGCCTTCCAGTAATGGAGTTTGAGTCCACAGCAGTAACAGTTCCATGCTTGAATGCTGATGTCTTACTACATTCCACTTAACCATACACATTTTTGTCAATGTTCATTTATGTAGTGTTGCTGATGCACAAATATCCTTTTTCAGGGCACATCTTCAGAAACTGTACGAGTATAGGTTGGACAGAGCCACATCCACTCTATCTAGATGCATGTGACATTGATGAAGACACAGAACCTGAAAATGAGGTTTGTTTTTTCAGATGTTTACAGTTACATGACTTTGGGATTATATATACTGTACATAAGGACTAGTTAAAAGCACAACAGGAGTAAAACTGTAGGTTTATTTCCATATTATTTTTTGCTAAAAAAACATTATATAAGCCATTATATAACAATATTTGAAAAATAAAATTGTTTTTATTGGATTCTTCACAGTTCAATGAGAGATCTCATGATTTTGCAATAAAGTTTTTTTTTAATCAGTACTGAAATATATAATTTTCTTAATAAACATTTTAAAACCCAATAGATTCATTTCTTTAAGTAATATATTTATTTCTATCATTGCCTTAAAATTTCTTAAATAGTGTTTTCCAAAATGATTGAAAGAAAGATTGATATCAGGTTAATATAAGGTTAATGACCTTTGCAATACTCTGGAAACCTACTGTAGGGAATATAGTATAGAAATCTGTTTCCTATACTATAGTTTTGGTATAAAAGTATACATCAACTACTTTCCAACCTAGATCTATAATATATGCATAAATATATACTTTACCATTACACCAAACAAGGTCTGTCACCCCTTTATCAGTCAAATTATTACAGTTGGGCAGGGCATAAAATTGGTTTAAAAAATAAATTACACAAAACAATATACTGAATGAATAGATTCTAAACAACCTAATACTTTAACCCATAATTTGGTAACTTTTGATTCAACCTGTTTTCTATTTTTTAGTTCACTAAGTGCTCATGGCGGAATGCCTGGAAAGAAAATCAAATTACTGAAATTTAAAAAAAAAAACAATTTTGCATTATGAAAGGAATAACGTGTAAGAAAACGTTTCTGTTAACTAGAATGAACAGACACATGCTTGTAATAAAAATGAAGCAATTTACCTTGTTCTCTATGAGACAGAACAGCAATGACTTCTTGTTATTTCTTTAGGTTTTGATAATATTCTCAAACATGTACTGGCAGAAAAAAAGGCACAGTATGTCCAAAATCCTCTGGAACTATGGACAGTTATGTAATTTCATCTCTAATTTTAGATGTCACTGTAACTACATAGGAATATAAAGCAAACACCTAGGCTTGGGATAGGAGGTTTTTAAATCCCACTTTGATATTAAACATAAAATAAAAACGTTTTTAAGAGCAAGGACGTGTTTTATTGTGGATTAATGGATATAACCAGACCAAAATACGTGATTGTTAGGGTTTTTATATTATTATGGTAATATGAGGAGATTTGTAACACAGTTAAACTTTAACATTTTTTTCCTAGAAAACATACTATTCAACGTTTAGACATGTCTACACCGCAGGGTATTCTACATCAGTGATATCATTAATAACAGCCATTATTGTCTTCACTGCTTTCAGGTAATGAAGAATGTTTTTTTTATTTTCAATAAATTTGTTAATTTATTTACATTTTTACAATTCTTGTATTTCATGAAAATATATAAATTTGAGTATATGTATTTTTTTTTTAGTATTGAGATTATATATTATATTATTTTTTATTTTTGTGCAAAGAAACAGAATATAAAGGGTTTCTCTTTAAGAAAAAAGTTTTAAATCACCAATACATAGGCTCTGACTATTTCTAAAAATATTATTACCTATAATATAACATTATTTTGATTTTTACAAACATACAGTATACAAAAGTATGTAAATCTGGCAAATTTTGATTATGTCATGATACTTTGAATGAGCAAATAATTATTACATACATAAGGGACACTATACAGTAAAACAGGCGCCGTCCTTCAGATGAGATGTAAAACCGAGGTCCTGACTCTCTGTGGTCATTAAAAATCCATAATCCCAGGGCGTTTCTCGAAAAGAGTAGGGGTGTAACCCCTGCGTCCTGACCAAATTTCCCATTGGCCCTTACCAATCTTGGCCTCCTAATAATCCCCACCTATCAATTGGCTTCATTACTCTGCTCTCCTCCCCACTGATAGCTGATGTGTGGTGACCGTTCTGACGCACTATGGCTGCCGTCGCATCATCCAGGTGGATGCTGCACATTGGTGGTGGTGGAGGGGAGTCCCCATTACCTGTAAAGCGCTTTGGGTGGAGTGTTATATAAGTGTAAGCAATTATTATTATAACATACTCCACAAAGCAAAAAACTTTATAGATAATAAACATGAAAGAAAAAAATAATAAAATAATGTATTCACACCCTAATTTGGCAATCTAAATGTATTTTATGTGTGCAAAATAACCTAAGGGAGTCATACAATTGACTAGCCAATGTCTATATGGAAGAATAGTGCGTCACATGATTACGCAATAAAGCACTTAATCTACTGTCATTCATTGAATTAGTAAATTTCAAGCAAAGATTCAAAAATGAATACCAAGGAGCTTTCAAAACAACTCAGAGATAAAGTTGTATAAAGGCACAGATGAAGAGTAGTATATAAAACATTTCAGAATGTTATTTGATCATGGTGAAGTTTAAGTCATCCAGACACTGCCTAGATTACATGGTCCCTCCAAATCCTACCCCAGCTGCTCCAGGGGTAGCATTTATACAACCAGGGGTGTTGTAAAAATGGCTGACCCTGCGCTCTGACCCTAAACTTCTCTCCCTGTCTGTGTGTTTCATGGAGAGAAAGTTTCCAATAGTGAAACACAGATGTGTTGCTTAAGGATTGTTATGCTAATTCAGAAAGAGGAAATGAACTAATTCAAAGGTGCATATCAGTCCATTCTTTAGAATCACACCCAAATATAAATATTTTAGCATTAAACCTGAAAACATTTTTACATAATTCTTTACCAATACATTATTTCAAAGAGGGTTACCCTTATTAATTGCAGAATTGTGTGCTCAGGTATAAATCACATCCAGACTGCTCTTAATGTATCGACAACTATTAAGCAGTTGTTTGTTTCACCTAGTATGTTTTCAGACAAACAATAGGAAGTACAGAACTTAAAATCTATCATCTGAAACTAATGGAGCATTTTACTAATTATACATTGTGTAACAGGCAGGTTAGGGCAGTATTCAATTACTGTATGCTGTTTTGTCAAGTAAGAAGCATAGCAAACATTCAGATCTGAATACTTTTTTTTACTGATATTACACATATTGCAATATACACGTTTTGCAAACATTTCATTACATACTTCTTTTTTCCTCCACAGAAAGTTCCACTGTACCAGAAATTATATTCACATTAACCTGTTTGCATCATTCATTCTCCGAGCTAGCGCTGTGTTTATAAAGGATGGCATACTGTTTGCAGATGAAAACACAGATCATTGTTTCATGTCAACGGTAAGAAAAATTGATCATTTTATTTTTTACATTTTCTGTTATTCAAGCTTGTTCAATATCATTCAATCTAATGGCAGATTTATTGTCAGAATCAGTTCCCTTAGTATTAGATTAAGAGGAAGATGGATATGTTAATCCTAATCGCTCAGAAATTCTCATGAAGGTCTCATGAAGAACTTTGTAGGTTAAAATATCATATCATAGAACTACCAGGTTTTTATTTTAATAGTCTTACAGTATGTCAGTTATATTCCAAATGCTATTAGAAACAAACAGAATGAAATTAATGAAGACATTAATTAGCATTACTTAAAAGGGCTAGGGATGGCATGGTGGTGCAGAGGGCTCAGATCATGGGGTGCTACAGTATCTGTGTGGAGTTTGTTATTTCTCTTGTGTCTTTGCCCATGTTTTGCACTCCAGTTTTCTCCCACAATTCAAGGACATACAGATGCAGCCATTCAAAATGGGTGGGATATTTCGTGGTATACGCCGGTGGGCGTGTCGCAGTATCACGCCGTATCACGGGGTTAATCGCGTCATTTGACGTCATGCCGGAAAGTATCCGGCATCACCTTGTAAACCTGCCAGGAGGAGCCAATAAAGCTTAACCTCTCATGTACAGCATTTGAGCTT